CTCATGTTATAAGCCTGACGATGATAGGAAATGCACTAGGCAGATTTTTATGGAGAGGTCAAGGTTGGCAGATTGTTTTACTGAGGAAAGTCTTGAGTTTCAAAGGAAAATTCTTGAGAAATCGGGACTTGGTGATAAAAGAGGCAGAAGCTGTAATGTTTGGCGCCATTGATGAGCTTCTTGCAAAAACTTCTCTGAAGCCAAAGGACATTGGGATTTTGATTGTGAATTGCAGCCTGTTTAATCCTACTCCTTCTTTATCTGCTATGGTTATTAACCATTACAAATTGAGGGGAAACATAATTAGTTACAATTTAGGTGGAATGGGTTGTAGTGCTGGTTTGATCTCAATTGATCTTGCTAAAAATCTTCTACAGGTTCATCCCAATACTTATGCTTTGGTAGTCAGTATGGAGAATATTACCCTGAACTGGTATTTTGGGAATGAGAGGTCAATGCTTGTTTCGAATTGCCTGTTCCGAATGGGAGGGGCTGCAATTTTGCTATCTAACAAAAGATCGGACCGTTGGCGATCCAAGTACAGATTGGTGCATACTGTGAGAACCAACAAAGGTGCTGATGATAAATGCTTTTCTTGTGTTACACAAATGGAGGATTCCAATGGGAAAGTTGGAGTCGCTCTGTCGAAGGATTTGATGGCGGTGGCTGGTGATGCTTTGAAGACGAACATTACGACCTTGGGTCCTCTCGTGCTTCCCATGTCTGAGCAGTTGCTTTTCTTTGCTACCTTGGTTGCGAGAAAGCTGTTTAAAAGGAAGCTCAAGCCTTACATCCCAGATTTTAAATTAGCTTTCGAGCATTTTTGCATTCATGCTGGTGGAAGAGCTGTGTTGGATGAATTGGAAAAAAATCTACAGCTATCCGATTGGCACATGGAGCCATCTAGAATGACTCTATATCGATTTGGCAACACCTCGAGCAGCTCTCTTTGGTATGAATTGGCATATTCTGAAGCCAAAGGGAGGATTAAGAGGGGAGACAGGACCTGGCAAATTGCCTTTGGATCTGGGTTCAAGTGTAATAGTGCAGTGTGGAAAGCTCTTAGGACCATAAATCCTGCAAAGGAGAAGAACCCGTGGATTGATGAAATTGACCAATTCCCCGTGGAGGTTCCAAAAGTCTCAACTATCTAATACATCATGCCAGAGCTTTCCCTTTTCAGTAGCCACATTTTGGTATGATTTATGAGTAACAAATAGTTAGTTATCTTGTTTGCTCGACATGCATTTGGTTTTGTTAAGCATATTGGAATGCAAAATGCACTTGAATCGTGGAGTTTCTAGTTCCCCATTTGAAAGTTAGTCAGTTACCTGAATTAAATTTGTTGTCATTCCAATAGGCAGTAGTCATTCTTTTTTCAAGAAAAAAAATTTGATGGGTGTGTTTTGACCTAGGATCATATTTGATGCTAGATGGCTTTTAAATGGTCTCACTGTAAGTTTTTAATTAGTATTTATTGAAGAATGTCTATTGGGTTATTCACTACCTGGCTGTGGATTTTATTCGAATTTTCGAAATTCATCGTCTCGATTATTTTGATTTACATTGTCACATATTTTCTTGGATTCCTTTGTCTTCTATATCCTCCCGAAGTATTCAGTCACCTTTTTATTTAGATTCGTCGTGTTTGTGCATGGAATCGAATTTTGGACGTCAACCTCTTTTGCCTCGAGTCGATCTACAACAAACTAAACCTTGAACAAATGAAGAGGTCAATTAGGCCTCGACTCAATCAATCTATAATAGTGAATTAAGCAGCAGTTGTCAACTAGATCGGATCGGATCACATCATATATAATAGTTTATCAAACATATGAAAACATTGATGCTGAAACCATAATTCATATAAATACACACTCCTACTTGGAGGATTTGTTGACGAGAGACTTGTGTATGCGAGCGATTACTCCACACAGGCTATGGTTCCTTTAATATGTGTGTCGTGATCTTCATCACCACGCATTGCCAGCCAGCTGAAAATGCCTCGACGTGATATTCAAATCCTAGCTCGTGTTACCAGCCAACTCCAACACTTGAGCAGTTAGGTATTCTAAAATAGCTGCAGAATAGATAGCAGCCATAGCACAGCATCCACTCTTCCATCTTGACTTCAGGAATCGATGGAATAATGTTCACACAATAAATATTGTGATGAATGTTCTAACACTGTTAAAAACCTTTTTGCTTCAATTCTGTGTATTGAGATTTAAATGACTAAATTTGGTAAGTTTCAGTCCGGCTATGAGAAAACACATCATGCCTCTTTAGTAATAGTTATATGACATCGGCTATGAAAATGCATCAAATATAGCGAAACCTCGAGAGTTTTGTCTCGTCTTCGAGTTTCATAAACCCGAGTAATTGGACTCTGAGTTTGCACTGCTACACCTGCAACCATTCATATTCTAGTTACCATTAGAATTTCATGATATGAAGCAAGTTAAATGGAAAAGAAAGGAAAATCATGTAAAAGAAAAATGAAGAACGAAGAAAGAAGGACAATTATTCGATAGATTCAGAGTTGCTCGATCTGTAGTCCATAATTTCACGATTGACTTGAGGCGACTTGACTTCTAGTAGTACAACCTGGCTTGGTAATACTCTTGTAGTTGAACCTCTTAACGTAGATAACTGGATATATCCAATTTCAAGTTTTATATAGTTGTTCACATCTTAGTTTAGTTCGTTCTATTAGCCAAGGAACATCATATTTACACATAAAAGGAACTTTTGAAAATATTAACGTGAAATAGATGGAAAAAGTCCTATTTACCTAGAAAAATTTCCAGTCTTTCTCCGTATATTGCAAACTTCAAAATCATGTATAAAGTTACTACAAATCTATTAAGTAGAATTTGTCTAGTTGAAAATTGAAACTATTAAATTATTCTAATTTTTGCATTTTTAAAACTTGAAAATTGCATAATTGACTAATAGTAAGAATTATTAAATAAATGTAGTATTTTATAATTTTAAATGTTTGATATGTATTATTTTAATTATTGAATGATTTTTAAAACGATTAAAAATTTAAAATAATATTAAAAATAATAAAATAAATGTAGTATTTTATTGAATGATTTTTACACCTAAACCTCGCGTAGACTTACTTAAACTTGTTGACCCCACAAATTGAACTCAACAGATGTCGGGCCCACTCTTGCCACGTCGAGTGCTAATTCGGCACGTTTATATCGGAATGGGAACGGTGGTTTGGCTGTAATGAACGTGAGAGGCACTTTCTGGTGAGAGGCACAAATGTTCAAGCTCCGGCGATTGGATTCAGGTAGCACTCGCGCTATCAATAAGTGCTTAATCCGTTTTCTTTAACTAAATCGCTCCTTTTGTAATGGAATATATGGAAGGATAGATATGATAATGTACTGTGTATTGTTGGAATATTAATGTGTGTTCTTCCTTGTGTTTTGTAAGACAAAGCAGAGCATATAAAGATGTTATTTTATTTCTCGATTGCATCCCCTTTTTCAGTAACAAAGAGAGGTTATTTATACTAACCTAGTCGACGTGGTGACCATCCGATCACATCCACGTGGCGACATCTCCTAGACCGAAGACTCATATCACTTTCCATTCATCGTATTCAATGTTTGACAAAGGGTCAGTCGTGCTAGTAATAGGCTGACATATTAAAGTTACAAACACTTTATTACAGACGTCCCCATCAATCAGTTCCATGTGATCTTTGAATCTGTTTAGGGGGCAACGTCGACATTAGCATGTGTTGAGGTTAGTTCCTGGCTTATGGACACCTGGTGTAGTTGAGTTTCGGTGCTTTAGTACTTCGGACATGAGGAGCCTCTGCATCGCACGGAAGGACTTTAAGCAGACTTTCGTGATTTAGGCTGTGAAGGGGGCATCAGACAACTGCAGCTTCGACACTTGCATGACTTCGGACAATGGCATCCTCTGTTGTCCTTGACTATGTTGACTCCCCCGTTGACTTTTCAAGGTTAGCTGTTGGGGCAGGGGGTGAATTGGCCGGTACTGCAGAAGCTGTTAGGGCTATCGAGGCTGGTAGAAGCGACGCCACTTCGGGAGAAGGGTTTAAGGGTGAGGGTGAGGGTGAGGATGAGGATGAGGGAAAAGCTTCGGGGGGAGCCAAAATTCCTTCTAATGCCAATCCAACCAAGTTAGCTGATCTTAGGGTGAAATATAGGATTCCCTATAACATAGAACTACTATCCCCGTCTTCTAATGAACGAGCCTGCTACCTTAGGCAAGGATGCGACGGCATTACCGAGTACCTTCTTAGGACAGGACTTCGTCTGCCCCTTCACCCTTTTTTCCAAGCCGTCCTTAGATTGTATGGACTGGCTCCTACCCAACTTTCTCCCAATGCCTGAGCCCAACTAGTTGGTTCCTATATTCTTTGGAAGAAAACTTCATTGGGCGAGGACATGCCCCTTTATGTTTTTCAAACCGTCTACCAACCTAGGTCGCTAAGCAAAGGGGATTGGAGGGGCATTCTCCTTTCGTGATAGGTCTTCCTTCCTTCATAAAAGGGTGGAAGGAAACCTAGTTCCAGGTTTGGGAAAAGTGGCAGGAGTGTGAGGGTGATACTGTCCCCTTCGTCAAATTTCCAAATTCCTACTCCGAGTCCAGTGAGTGCTATTTTCAAGCTTTGTTTTCGACTTTCTTTTCGAACCTCTTTACTGATGCAATGTTCATCACTTTCAGGGACTATATAATGTTTTGAGCTAGACTCTTCTTACTGGGAGGTCTTGTTCGATATTTATCGTCAACCCTCCTCGACTCGTCACTTTGACAATCTGGTCACTCCGCAGTATTTTTACGAAGACCTATCTTTCATGGCCTCTAGAGGTATGTTCGGCCTCTGCGAACGTTTTTTTCTTTTGTCTATTTGTCATCTTTCATTCATTTCTGACTTCGTACCATTGCTTGCAGAGAACTTCTAAAAAAGGAAGGTGCCTGCCCCTGATATGGCCACCATTCTAGTAGCTACTTCGACGGCGGGTCGTAGGCGGTGTGAAAGGCACATCTGTCGGGGGAAGGTAGATCAACAGGAAGCTGGAGAGGGCCAATAAGGAAGCTGCCTCTCAGGAGGAGAGTCGCCCCCCTTTGCCAGACCTGGGAAAGAAGGTGGTGGTTGAAGAGCCCAAGAAAAAATTTCGAATTTCCATCACTAGGGTGGGTAGCTCCAACCAGGTCCCTCATCTCTGGTTCGAGGTGCCGGTAGGGCAAACGTTACTGGCAGCGTTTTTTGCTGTAGCCACTGGAGGGCGAAGCGACCAGCTTCCTCGGAACCCCAAAAACAAAATCCTGCCAAACAGTCAAGGACCTCGAGTGATACCACCAGCTCGCAAGGTAAGCTGACTATGGTGAAGAGGGCTGATAAATTGGAAGCTCTTGCTCTTCTGCCTTCAGAGATACAAACGGCTACAACGATGTTCCATCAGTTTTGGACAACTAAATGGCACAACTTTGTAGAGACAAGTGACGCAGTGGACGTCGTCTCTACAATGGTGGCCCAGGCTAATTGATCATTTGGGATGGCCGTAGAGGTGGAGGTCCTCTTCAAGACCCTCCAAAGAAAAAATAGGGAGTTTGTAGATAAAGCATCCCAAGCAGAAGAGGTTGCCAGTAAGGCGAATGTCGAGGCTGAGGCACTAGCCAAGATGGAGAAAGAGGAGTCGGTGAAACTTGCTTCGGCCCTGGAGGAGATCGGGAACCTTAAGAAAGAGATATACTTATCTCAGAGTGAAGTGGCCTATCTTACGAAGCGGGTGGAGACTTCTGATACCCACCAACATCTGGCTACTGAAGCCCTTGAGAAAGCCACTCAAGAAAATTCTTCTTTGAAGAAGACGGTGGAGGAGCTGACTCGCCAAGTATTTGGCTGACTGAAGAAATTCAAACTGTGCGTAGCAATGCTGAACTTGCTAGCAAAAACGCTGAACAGAGTTTCTTGGCCAATTTTCACCTCACCGAGCATTACCAACACTTTGGCGTCTATTGGAGGAGGTATGCTTGCAACGAAGTAATCGACTGGCTGGAGGTGCATAACAGAGAGGTTTAGACTTCTGATTTAAAGGTTGAATTCTTGGAGGAGGAAGTGGAAGAGCCTCAGACTCTAGCGGACGAGGGTGATGTG